AATTTTAAATTTCTAGCCGCCTTTATGTTTGCATATTACATAGTTCGCAAGTTTAACAAATACTATATATTGCAATTTCAGGTTAGGGTTGACATGGGCGAGCCAATACTTAACGCACCAGATGTACCAACAAAGTTACCTGCAAATAAAGATGACTCTGTTGTTAAATCAGAACTAGTTGTAGATGGACTAACCTGGAACGTGACATGTGTTAGTATGGGTAATCCTCACTGCGTGACCTTTGGTACAAAGGGAGATCAAGTATGTACTCTTTGGGGTTAATGAAGCAACTTAATCTTTATCTGAATTTATGCCATATGTGAAATTTGTTTAAGATGTTCTCATTTGCATTAATAGGAATCTTTACAAAGATATCCTCTAAAGTGTAAATAAATATTAATCTAGTCTATATTTTTTAAAAGAAAAAATTTTAATTCTTATATTCTAATATTTTCAGAAGGTTGATGAAAAGTCCCAAAATTTTCATAAACTATACTCCAGTTGTTTTTTAGAAATTTAATGCGAATGGACAAAAAAAATAAAAGCAGAGAATAATTATAAGCAAGACTTTCTTTCTAAAATGTGTTTACAGTCTATTATTCAGTATTAATTGCAACTTTAGCATTAATTACAAACCTTATTTCCTTGAAATTCAAAAGCAATATATCGAAATGATGGGTAAAGCTGTAGAAATGTTAGCTGTTCCGCTTAGAAGAGAGAATTATTTACTGCTTAAAGGTTTTGGCACCAAAATTGGCAGAGTCAAAACTATCTAAGCAGTTCACACGAAATATTTTGATACTGTGAGAACATGCATTTTTTTGTTGTTTTTTCTTTAAAAAAAGAGGATCAAAGAGTTATTTTTATTAAGTCTAGACTAAATCTTCATTAATGTTTAAGGGCCAAACTACTTTATTAGACAAAAGGTGGACTAGAATGATATTAGTTCATAGTTTGAATGATGTTTTTGGTAAATGTCCCTTGATAAATGTGTGACGCTGAAGCAGGTTTCATGGAAATCCGTGCACTCGGAAGTTCACCATTTTCTTTATGGATTCCCTTGACCTTAATGTAGTGTCTCGTTATCTGGTGAAATAGAAAAACTCAACAGAATGGAAGTAAAACAAGATAGCATTTGACACTACAAGATAAACTGATGTGCTTGATATTTATGGAAGTTCACTCTTTTCTTTATGGATTCCCTTGACCCTAATGTAGCGTCTGCCTGTCTGGTGAAATAAAAAAACTGAACAGAAGGGAAGTAAACAAGACAGGAGAGGATAATACAAGATAAAGTGATGTGCTTGATATTTATGGAATTGGACAGAAGAAACTTGTTCTATTTTATGTTTGGTAACCCGTAAACAACACGAAACGTTTTTGATATGATCTAATTCATATTCTTTGTACATGGCCTTACTGGTGCTCATTTATTTTCTAATGATTGTAATTGAACAGAAATTGGTTGTTGATGAGTTAAATTTAGCCGAAATTGGTCCAAAATTTGAGCATCATGCTATGTTCCCAGCCCGAACTAACACAGGTTAGATGTTAAATTTACAGTAATGATTTTGAATTGCGAGTTAAAGCTGTACTTTGTGGTGATTGTATGCTCTGGAAGTTGATTTTGTCTCTCTTATCAGAAAGTACAAGTGTCAAAACCATATTGTTTTCTTTAGCACAAAAAAGCATAGCCTTATCTTCAGCATTTGAGTTACTGCTTTAGGGCCCTTTCACCCTGTAGACCACTTCTACCGATCTTGATGCAGGTTTAGGTGCTGACAGCTGGTTGACTTCTCTGTTGATGAACCGTACTGATGCTGTACAGCGGAGGAAATTAGATATAGATAATGATATTTTTAAGCTTTAGTGAGTTTGCAAAAATTTTAAGGGAAAAGTAGCATTTAGAAATTTCAAATGTGGTGTCAGGTGAAAATCTTTTGTTTCGTCAGCATCTTGACCAACTTGAGTATTTCATTGCTTGAATTTCTACATTGATGCACAATTTTCTGCTAACTATTCTTGGAATACACATTTATGTTCATTTAACTTACATGATTTGACCTGCAGAATTTGTGGAAGTATTTTCCCGTTCACACTTGAAAATGCGAGTCTGGGAGCGTGGAGCAGGTCAGTTGTTAACATCATAAAAGTTATCATCTTGTGAAATTTTTCCCCCCTTATAATTTCTTGGTGTTACAAGGGCTACAAGAACTGGAGGTGGTATCACTGAGCCTAGTTATGGGTTTGTTGTTATTTATTGTCTTGATCGCTTTGTACTGTAGGAGCAACACTTGCCTGTGGAACTGGAGCTTGTGCAGTTGTGGTGGCAGCAGTTCTTGAGGGTCATTCAGATCGGGTAAGTTTAGGTTGTGATATTCAGATGAATAAGCTTTAAAGTTTACTTAGCAGATGGATCAGAAGTGTCTACAGTATGTTGTCAGAACTATAGAAAGAAGAATAAATCCTTGTTCAAATTAAACATTCATCCTCAGACCCATATTTTTGTGTCTCTGTTTAAGATAGTTCCTTTGCTTGTCTCCTTAACACTCTAATCTTGTCTTGAAATAGAAATGCACGGTTGATTTACCTGGAGGACCATTGGATATTGAGTGGAGAGAGGAAGACAATCATGTATACATGACAGGTCCTGCTGAAGTTGTGTTTTATGGATCAGTGCCCCTCTAAAGCTTTCTCCTTTTGATTGCCATCTTGAGGAAAGTTAGTTCTCCCAATGTTTCAGCTATGCTTAGAGCTAGCTTTAAAAGTATTGTTGGCGTCCTTGTGTTTATTTATTTTAAGAATTTTGAAGAGCCGTGATGTTATATATTACAATAAAGCTAAGGCTTTCTGATCGGCATCTGTTGCTTTCTTGCTTCAATTATGTTGACAGACAGAATTGTGATAATCTAGCATTAGACCTGTCTGAGGGGAGTACCGACCATGCTCCGAGTAATGGTGCCTCCAATGTTCTGGGCTTTAAGATCAAATAGAAAAAAAAATCAGTTACTGAAAATAAACTACTATTATTATTATCTTTTAAACTTTCTTTCTTGGTGATGCCCCTGAGGAGCCATTTTCTTTTTTCCCAGCGCGCCTTATAAGTAGAAAGAAGTTGTGGATCTCTCTATTCTTGCTAGATCAGCTTCAAGTCTTCTACTTTCCTTATCTCGATTCCCTTTTCTCTTTATTCTGCTCCTATATATATTAACTTCTTTTTACAGTGAAATCTGCTCTCTACATTTCTCTCATGGAAGCTTAAATTTTTTATTTGTATCTCTGACTCTAATTACCCACTATACAGCGTGACATTTGCATATATATATATATATATATAATGAGCATCTTCCATACATCAGACCCTTTTTTTGTTATGATTATCACAGGCCAGCATCATCTCTCCACATAATGCATAAAACCATTCAATTGGTAATGGTATTGGCCTCTGCAGAAGTAAAAAAACTCATAATCAACAAATCATAGACTCACTTTTTTTTTTTCTCTTCTAATAATCCTCCATATGTCTGGTTGCCTCATACCTTGGATGTTCATTCTCTATTTTACTCACCTATCCAAAACATACCAGTAAGAAAATTAATTTATGAAAGCTCGTTTTGACTGATGGAATATGTTATATTATTATATTATTTTAGAAATTATAATTTATTTACTAAATATATTGTATGAGACTCATGAATATTAATAATTTATATTATATATTCACCCTATTCGTGGAAAAATAATCCATAAAATACGTATTTTGATTTTTGGTTATATTATTTTTTAAATCATAAATTAATAAAACGCAGATCTCTCTCCATGTAGAAATATATTTTCCAAGTTTTGCTCCCCTCACTTAAACGCGCCCGTTTGAATTTTTTCCAGTGTGGGCCCACTTTTTCAAAAGGTGTACCCCTTGCCTCCCAACGACTACAAAATACAATGCAGGCCAACTAGCCGTTGGATAATCAAATAATCCTTCGTTACGCATTTTGAAAAACACTGCTGCTGCTACCTGCTAAGACCTGAAAGATCCAGAAATTTTATCGCAGAAAGAGAAGGGAGAGAAAAGGTGAGAGAAATTAAAAGACTCCTTTTGTTTTCCTTCTTTAGATTCTTCCATCCCACCCAACACCTTCTACTCGTAAGTGAAAGGTTTGTTTTTATTATTATTATCCCTTTTCAATTCACTGTTGAAACTTTCAATTCCATATTTAATAAACTATTTGGATTTCCTGTTTGGTTTCTAAGAAATCTTGGAAAAAGAGAACTGAAAAAATGGAAGTTAAGAGTCTCGATCTTCTGATATTGGATTTCGTTGCTAGGATTCAACGCAAATGTCTTTTTCTTTTAGTTCAAGCAGGACAGAGATTTGATTTGGGTAAATTTATCGTATGATGCCTTGCGAAATTATTAATTTCCTTTTTTCTTTAAAAAATTATTCTGTAGGTTCCGAGAAAGTAAAGGAAAATGATGTCACTCACTCCAGATCAATTCAGGAAAGTTGGGTTGGGGATGACGCCATCTCCACATCCCTTCTTCACACCTAGGCCTGAACGGCGTCGCATGGATTCCAATTCTAATCGTCAGGATAGAGATAGAGATAGAGAAGTTAATGTACAAGTGCTTCTAAGATGCAGGTGGGTTTTTCTTTTTATTATCTTTTTGTTAGCTTCTAATCGTTTTAGACACGAAAATTTTGAATTCCAGGATCACAATTTGAGTTGATATATACTCGTTTCACTGCCAGGCCACTAAATGATGAGGAACAAAGGTTGAATGTTCCAAGAGTAATATCATGTAATGAACATAAAAGAGAAGTCGCTGTTCTGCAAAGTGTGGCTAACAAACAAGTAGATAAAGTTTTCAACTTTGATAAGGTAAGCCTTCGCCTCTCTTCTATCTTCACCTTAAATTCCATTTGATGATGGGTTATTATTATTTATAATAATTATGATTATTATTTTGAATCGTAGGTTTTTGGGCCCAAAGCTCAGCAAAGATCGATATACGACCAAGCCATCGCTCCTATAGTTAATGAAGTTCTTGATGGTTTCAACTGTACTGTCTTTGCATATGGGCAGACAGGCACAGGAAAAACTTATACCATGGAGGGTGGGATGAGAAATAAGGTACCTTTGTTATGTTACAAAATACTTCTATGTATTGTAATCCATTTTTCCACTTCTAGAGAGATTTTCTTTACATGAACACGGCTATGTCTTTCCCAAAAACCTAGCAGGAGTAACCAACAGGATAACAAAAGAGTTCTTTAATGGCTACTAGTATTGCTGTATCTGGTTGTGGATCTAGGGACATATCTTTGCCCAATTTAGAAACCCTGTTCAATGGTGGGCCTGTTACATTCTTACTAACATTACTAGATGGGAATCCATTTTCTTTCTGGTTGAGTAAATATATACTAAATCTTGTGAAATATAGGGCGGTGATTTGCCTGCTGAGGCCGGTGTTATCCCAAGAGCTGTCCGGCATATTTTTGATACACTGGAGGCTCAAAATGCTGACTATAGCATGAAAGTAACTTTTTTGGAGCTGTATAACGAAGAAATAACTGATTTGCTTGCTCCTGACGACTATTCAAGATCTACCGAAGATAAACAAAAGAAACCAATTTCTTTGATGGAGGATGGGAAAGGCTGTGTGGTAGTAAGAGGCCTCGAAGAAGAGGCTGTGTACAGCGCCAATGATATTTATACTCTTCTGGAACGAGGAACAGCCAAAAGGCGCACTGCAGATACATTGTTAAACAAGCGCAGCAGGTTAGAACCTTTTCTAGATTTATTTGCTGATAATTCAATCTACCATGATCTCTTTTTATGCTGAATTCAGTTTGTTTCTTTTGCAGCCGTTCTCATTCTGTATTTTCTATCACTGTGCATGTGAAAGAAGCAGTTGTTGGAGATGAGGAACTGATTAAATGTGGGAAGCTTAATCTTGTTGATTTGGCTGGATCAGAGAATATTTCCCGCTCAGGTGCACGAGAGGTATGCAAAATTGCAGCTTGTTTTACAGAATTTGCTTGGATGTTAATTAGCCAAACAATTTGAAGTATGATGCAGCAGATGGAAAATATGGCAAGTGTTTTGTATTTAATGAATATAAAAGAAGTAATAACACTAACAACAACAAAGGATGGTAGGTACTGGGAAAAGATTACTTTTACATATTTCTGAAACCATCAGAGTTTAAAGTTAAAAATTAAAAAAATGCAGGGTCGTGCAAGAGAAGCGGGAGAGATCAACAAGAGCTTACTGACCCTCGGCCGTGTCATAAATGCATTGGTGGAACATTCTGCCCATGTACCTTATAGGTTCATATCAGTAGATTAATTAATTAGTTCTCAATTCATTGGTTTTCTTTTCTTTTTTTTTTTCTTTTATATCTGAAATAGTTATGTGCTGGCATTCTGTGCAGGGATAGTAAGTTGACTAGGCTCTTAAGAGATTCTCTTGGAGGTAAAACGAAAACCTGCATCATTGCTACAATTTCTCCATCTGCTCATTCTTTAGAAGAAACTCTGAGTACGCTAGATTATGCCTACCGTGCTAAGAACATTAGAAACAAACCAGAGGTTTGTTTTGCTATTTCCTTTGTTTTTCTGATAATTTTTCTTTGTATAATTTTTCTTTGACACTGATAATACCACCTCGCCTCTGCAGGCAAACCAGAAAATATCCAAGGCTGTGTTGCTTAAGGATCTGTACTTAGAAATTGAGAGAATGAAAGAAGGTGTTACCATGAATTTACCTTCTTAGACTATTTTGTTTTAAATGTTAACGAGTTAAGAATTTAGATTCTTTACTCACGAAAAAATTGAGCAGATGTTCGAGCGGCAAGAGATAAAAATGGTGTTTACATTCCACATGAAAGATTTTCACAGGAAGAAGCTGAGAAGAAGGTAAATTTTATGATGCTGTTTGAACATTCTGTATGCTCTCACCTACATCTGTATCTGACACTGTATGACCCTTTTCTTTGCAACTGTGACATCAAACCTAATAGAATTCAGTAAGACTAATCCCAAATAAACAGAGATTTTTTGAAGACTACATAAACTAACAGTTGTCATGTTAGGATAAATAAAAAGCTATCTTTTGAAATTAGGTAGTGTCCACCAACTTTGACACTGTATGACCCTTTTCTTTGCAACTGTGACATCAACCCTAATAGAATTCAGAAGACTAATCCCAAATAAACAGAGATTTTTTGAAGACTACATAAACTAGCAGTTTGACATTTTAGGATAAATAAAAAGCTATCTTTTGAAATTAGGTAGTGTCCACTAATTTTGATTAAGATAGTATGCATAATAGAATTAGGGGTGAGAAACTAATAACTTCTCATAACCCAGAGAACTTAGATGTACTGGGTTCAAGGGTGGGAGAGAGTTCCTATAGCTTTTCTTATTATGGCTGCAAGTCAAGTGAAACAAAACAACTTTATTTTGGGTACCTTTTTCTATTTAGTTTTGCACAATCACTAACACTAACCATGAAATCTTTTAAGAAGGTATTAATCTAAATGGATTTACTCCTAATATTTTGTTAATGTAAAACTAGATGAACCAGTCAATTTTTGGCAAAAATTAGTTTTATAGTTTTCTTTTCATTGTATTAATTGTTTTGATGGAGTATAATGGATACTCCCATAGATGTACCACTTCATTTAATAAATGTTAAATTAGATGAAATTTTCATTTTCTGGCTAATGCTTTTCCATATTACGTAAACTACGTAATTAGGCTTAATCCAAATTGATCAAGCAATTGTCACACTTGAAACTGCCAATAAGCTTTCAAGTGCGTTTTTTGCCTGGCTTTACTTAGAGAAATTTTTACCTGCAGGTGAGGATTGAGAAAATAGAGCAGCTGGAGAATGATCTAAACCTTTATGAGAAGGTACAAAAGGCCCACATTTCTTTTCCTGCCTCTTATTGGTTATAAAAATAAAAATGATTACCTTTTCTTTTATGCAGCAAGTTGAGAAGTTCCGTGAGCTTTACCTAACTGAGCAAGAGCAGAAACTGGACGCAGAAAGTGAGCTCAAGGATTGCAAGGTAATTATCACACTTCCATTTAGATAAACCTGGAAAATGAGCTCAAGGTCTATGCACTTGTTGAAAAAAACTGGAGATTCAAAGTCAGTTAAGGTGTTCCTGAACATTTTCCTGATCAAAGTTTATTACATTTTCATCTAGATAAACCTGGATAACAGTAACAAGGCATTGCTTGATCTTCAAGAAAACTACCAGATACTATTATCAACACTAAAGGAGAAGGAGTTCATTATCTCTAAAATGCAATGCTCAGGTCAGAGGATATTCCCTGAAAATCTGGATCACTCTTCTTAATCTTGGCAGTTTATTATTATCATTATTATTTATGTTAACAATCATGTCATGAGCAGAAAATTCTTTAGTTGAACGGGCAAAAGAGTTGAGCTCTGATCTACAACACGCATCAGAGGATATAAATTTGCTGTTTGCAAAATTAGGTATTTCTATTTCTTCTTTACATAGGAGTAGAAACATGTTTTCATTACAACGTTCATCTGTAAATCGACACGAAAATTTTAGGTGGCTTGCACACTGGCAAAAGAGTAGAGCTTTAATCTAAACATGTATAAGACAATATGGATTTAGTGTTTGCAAAATTAGGTATATAAGTGGCTTTCCTTCTATATTTATGATAAGAAACATTTTTTATAATGTTTCACCTGTAAATCAACAAATCAACCGTATCAAATCATCAATTATAAGAGGCTTCAACACTATCAAAACATATTTGGAAAAAAAAGAAAAGAAGGTTTTTTACATGGTCTGCCATGCATATAACACTTAATTCCCCACATATTTCAAGATGTTGAAAGATAACTCCTGATTTAATTTTTTATGAGATATTTATCTTACAAAATGGAACATGAAATACAAGTTCTTGCGTCAAATATGTTCTTGTTCTGAAAGGAGGAACTTATTGTTAAGTTGAATCTCTTTAACTCCCTGCAGATATAAAAGACAAGATGGAAGTAGAAAATCGGAGTATGTTATTGACTTTTGGTTCTCAGCTTGATCAGAGTCTAAAAGACCTGCACAAGATGATCTTGGGTTCAATTACACAGCAACAGCAACAACTAAAGTGCATTGAAGAAAGCACGCGCTCATTTCTTGCTAGTAAATGTGATGTAAGAGTGCTAAATGCTTTCATATAACTTGGCTTACTCATTTGTTTACTGTTAGCTTGTGAGTAATCTCAATTGTTATTTCTAGGCCACCCAATTCCTGGAATCAAGACTTAAGAAAATGACTGATAGATATACGTCAGGAGTAGAAACCTTGAAGGAACTTGCAAAGACAGCAGAAAATAAAGCTTCCTCTGACTTGGGGCAAATAAATTCTATAATATCATCTCAAGTAAAAACGGTTGAGCAAGTATGGACAAAATATATAATCCTTTCTCTCTCTTTTGATTGCTTATTTAGGACATATAGGACCACTGATATAAAACATTGATCTTTGCAGTTTCTTGACACTGCTGTCTTGGAGGCCAGGGAGGTTATTGGAGAGATCAAGGATTCCCTGAATGAGCAAAAGGAGCTATTAGCTTTCACTGCTCAACAACAAGAAGAGGTATTGGTGTATCTATAAATTTAAGCTTGTTTTAATAATATACTCAGTTATAATAAAACATTTACTCTCTGTTTTATAATGGCAGGGATTCCATCAAAGCTTGATGTCTGCACAAGAAATTTCTGCGGCAACAATAGACTTCTTCAACCATATCCATCATCAGGCTCATCAAGTCATGACAACATTTGAGACAGTCGAACTGAAAAATCTCGGAGACTAGCTGCTTTTGAGAAGTTGTTTAAGGTAAATTAGGCAAGATGCACCATTTACTTCTGTAATAATGTTAAGCAAGCTGCTAGATCTCCACTTTTGTGGCATAGAGAGCTGCTAGAGAGAAAAGCAAGCATTGAAAGT